CGATCCCCGTTGATGGGTTTTGGCTCTTTGGGAGTCTGCCTCAAACTGGCGCTTGTCTCCAGTGTACTCATGACAGTCACAGGGGATGGGCAGAGTCGATTTGCCCTTAAAATGTTTTCCGACCCAGCCCCACTGAGTGCTGATGACAGTGAGGGCGTGTCTTATCGATCCCTATTTTGTCCTTCCTTTTTATTTCTGTCTCTCTCTTTTGATTCCAAATTGTGAACTCACAGTAGCTTTGCAGTGACCCCGAGACAGCTCTGGCAAGCTCTGCAGCTGCTGCCTCACCCTGTGGCTGTGAACTCCTCTGGGGAAGGGGTCAGAGACCTCCTCTATGAATGGAGATGAAGCACTTCCGGGTCAACCTCTGCCAAGACTTTCCCCAGTTCTCAAAGGATGTTTTCTGAACTGTGATTTCCTACCTCTCATTCCAAAAAGGCATTTGTGTCATCTTGCTGTCACTCTGTTCACGACCACTCTAAGTGGGATCATCTTAAAACCTAGGGAATCGAGCTAGATTTTTTAAAAAGGCAGAAGACGCACACCAGGTACATGTGACGTGCTGTTAGTGTGTAAGCTGGACAGTCATGCTTGTGTGTTCATAGGTCTCCTCCCCTTTCTAGTCAGTGAGTACGTTCAATTGTTATTTATTCACGATCACATTTCCAGCATTTGGTCCAGTGCCTGGCACCCCAGGCACAGAGACTCAGAAAATGTTTACAGTTTAGTTCTGGTTTCCTAGGAAACCAGCAACTGGGAACAACGGAAAATCCAATAAATATCCACTTGAGTCCACAAAGCCTTCTGTGGATATTTGAAATTTCATTCAGATATCACTTCTCAGAACTTCCATTAATCACAGGGCCAAACACACCCACTCCTTGAAGGCAGGGACACTCACTTCTTAGAAGCCTCCATCCCTGTGCCTCCTCAGGACGGAGCTGCGTGTATAGGAAGTGCGCCATAGACGCCGCATGCTTTAGTTTGATTTTGTAAATGGAGAGACTGTCCTCGTTTGGGAACATTTTCTTAATTCCTCTCAAACTTGGGCATTGGTTTCTGGGCCGATGCTGTTAAATTGGCATCGATTAGCTTGTAACTTCATACTTCCATCAGTACTTCTTTTTTTTTTTTGGATAAGTTTATCCATGACGGACTTTTGGGAAATCAATATACAGATGGTTCATGTGCAGTAAGATCATCCTTACTTATTAGCTACTTGTTGATTCCATGACACCCCCCAAGGTGCTTCTTGTTAACCATGAGAAATGCTAGGACTAGAACCAAGAATTCCCTTGTCTTTTTTTTTCTCTCAAAAGTCACACTTTCTTCCTACTTAACTGGGGAGCAGATGCATCAGCAAACAAGAGACATGTCTTAATTAGGGATGGATTCCCAGATGCTATGAAAGTGCCCTTGGTTAATCCACAGGGCACTTGTCCTTCCTGACAGTTTCCTAAGGTAGGCAGCTGAGGGGTTCAGTAACAGAGGCAAGTTCCTCTTTACAAATCCTCCCGAGACAAAGAGCATGCTTGCAGATCAAGTTCTGCTGCTGAACATGCTATTCTGTAGTGCCCATGGTAGAGAGATGCGAATAGAATTCTTAACATACTTGGGAATAAGTTTCTTCCCGTGAAACTCACTCAGACGGCAGAAGCACTTGAAGTGCTGTCAGGAACTAGCGACGTGGTGCTGGCTGTATGGACAACAGCGGCTTAGGGAGAGACAGCCCGGCCGCGGTGGAGCCACTAGAAGAACTTGAGTCTCAGAGGCGGAATCTGGGCTGGATGGGTGTCACAGCTCAGAAGCAGGGACCCGGCCAGCGGGGACCTGGTGGTGGTGAAGTCACGAGAGGTGGAGGAGGGTTGGGTGGGCTGAACCTGAGAAGACCAGGCTCTGAAAGCACAGAATACATACTGAGGAGCACAGGGAAGTGAGAATGAAGTTTCAAAGTGTCGAAACCTCTTTTTTTACTACTCTTGTTTGATCTGTTACTGTTTGCAAATACTGTCAACAGCTGATCAAACGTCGTCCACTTTATGTAACCACAAAGACAATGCAGAATGCCCTCCTCACATTTAATGAGGCTCAAAGAGTGTGTATTTCATTAAATGCAAAGGACACTGCTTCTAAGCTTATGAGTCTTTATTTGCCATCATCTTGAAGGGAAGAGGCTCCCCACAGGTTCTGGGATATTGAAAACATCCACGATTCAGTATTATTGTTGGTGTCACATTTCAAATACAGTTTATATACTCTTCAGACCTAAAATATATTTTTCATCCTACTTAGGTTCCTAGTGATGCTATAGTTGGTATAGATTATACTGGAGACTTGAAGAAATACACTAAGAGTGCACTTTGCCCTCAATTTGGTTTTTGTTAACATTTTTACTTACCTTCAGCAGAATCTCTTTGGGCTCAGCCACTCTGCCAAATTCTTAGCAGATCTTTAGTAAAAATTTTAGAAGTTATGCCAAGGACCAAACAACTCTTTGGCACATAGGTGTCTTATTTTAGTTGCAAGCCTTTATTCAAATAGTATCCATCAAATTAAATTAAAAAAAATTTTTGGAGCAGGAGGTAATTAGGGTTACTTATTTATTTACTTTAATGGAGGTACTGGGGATTGAACCCAGGACCTTGTGCATGCTAAGCAGGTGCTCTACCATTGAGTTCTACTTTCTGTCAGTCATCTAACTGACTTTAAAATAGAACTTATTTTTTTATTTTATAGTTCAGATTTTTATTTTTAATTAATACACGTTTAAATAAAAGTAGTTGCTCTTATACAGACTAAAAAACCAGGATGTATGCTCCATTAGGTTAAATACAATATCGATCACATGTTTTTGCCATAATTCATTAATAAGAATAGTAACTTATTTCAGTTACTATTTCAGTTACTTATTTCAGTTCATGGGAAAAAGTAGTTAATTTTTTAGACGAAATAACTTTAAAAATCACTGGCAATGTATAGTCAGGACACAGATATCAGCAGGAACTGTCACCTACATAATTTTCATTTCCTGTGGCATGAAATTAACCTTAAGAGTATCCTTTAAATTAAAGCCACACTCACTTGTTAGTTTGATTCTAGAAGAGTAACAAAGAAGATGAAGAAACGTTATTTTCTTCTTTTAAAAAAGAGATCCTGTTTAAACCAATGAGGGAGAATTGATATTTTATTCAAGATTGATATTTTAGATTATGAGATAGAAACCAAGTATAAATAAAAATAAAAAGTTGTTACCCATTTGTCTTGCCACGTTTCTTCTTACATGAAAAATTGGAACACTGACCCAGACCAAAAAAAAAAAAGGAAAAATAAAGACAAGTGAAATTCTCTCCATGAAACTGAAAAATAATTCGTATTGTTATTTTAGACAAACCTGTAAAATAGAAAAGCTGTATTATTACAATAGACAGTTTGTTCCTTCTCTTTCTAAAGTCACGTTACTTAAACTTTTTTTATTGCATTTTCTCAGACCACAAGATACAGAGTGTTTAACACAGGATCATAAAAAAGGCATACTCATAAAATACCAGTAAGCAGAGACTTTGTGGCAGAATACTTCTGATGTTGCAACTGCAATTTTATTCAGGAAGAAAAACTATCCAATCTTGCAAAAATAAATCAATGACTATGTATTGAATAGTTAGCCTTTCTCCAAATTCTGTCCTAACATTGAGAACATTTTGTGTAATTGGAAATTTACTAGACAGTCATCAAGTTTTTTTTTCATCCCATTTCTCTTTTCATTTCTCTAGAGGAGCCGAGGAAGGAAGAAATTGGACTAAATGTGCTCTTTGATCATATAAAAAGAATCCAGAGGAGATTCTGAAGTAGCATTGATGGTTTATTGAGCTTTAAAGTTGCTTTTTGCCAGGGTACTAAGTTGTACATCTAAATATAAATTTGTGAGAATTTGTATCGGCCGAACAGCTGGCCAAGACATTCACATCCTCGTGTAAATACGTCCCCATTTGGGACCGCCCTCTCAGTTCAGTCTAAATGCCTGCTCTTGGCATTTTCAACCACTCGGGGCTCTTTCTGTAGCCCAGGGCACTTGTGAACAGCCTCCAGTTTTGCTACAATGTCCATGTCATTTACTCTGTAACTGGACGTAATATTTCGCTCTTAGAAATGCTAAATTAGAAAAATTGCTTTGTATTTTACTTTCTGCTCCTGTTTCCTGAAAGCTTATTTCATACTGAAAATCGGTGTGTGACAGGTTCCTGTAAAGTGACCAGGAAAGAACCCTATGGACGACATTGAGGGGGCCTACTATTAATGTGCCTGAACGAAGCCTTCAGTGAGCTCCACTCTGTAAAATCTTGTCCATTAACCCAATAGAAAAAGTGAACTTGGACCCATTTATATTGAAAGAAACTAAATTAAGTTTGAACAGCACGGCGGGGGAACAGAAATGCTACATCCTTCACCTGAACTGCCATTAGCTTTCATTCTTACACCCTGGAGTTTCTAAGGAACTCAGTGGTTGCCTATAGGTTTTATAATCTCTGTCTCAGTGCGGCATATTAGACAGGTAAACACAAAATGCATTTTGTGTTCAGCTTGTGTGTGTGTGAGTCTGTGTGTGTGTGATCTTGTGTCTTCCCGTCCTTATTCTAGAAGAGTTGGACACTACCCTGAAGACCTTTGGTTCTTAAAGCACTCCTGTGTAAGGAGACAGGTGAGGCAGCACCAAGACCATGCTGGTGTGGATGTTTTGAGTGTTACTGAGTCCAAACTCGATCCGCTCACCACAGGACAGGCCAGCCAATCGGGAGACGAGGTGGAAGGAATAATGACTTCATTCAGAAAGCCGGCAGACTGAGAATATGGGAGACTAATGTCCCAGAGCATCATCTTACCCAAGTCAGAATTCAAGCTCCTTTTATACTAAAAGAGGAGGGGGTGTGGTTGCTTGGTGCAAACTTCTTGGTGCCACAATTCTTTGTTCTTGCAGCTCTCCATGTGGGTCAGGTCAAGATGTTCCTGTAAACCTCCAACAAGACAAATGTTATTCTTTGTTCTGCAACTTTTCATCTCTCTGTAAATGGAAAAATGTTACACTCTTGAAGATCACAGCCTTGAGAATGGGCTATTCTCTATATTTTAGACTGGAGGCAACTTTTTTTTTTTTTTTTTTTTACAAAAATTGCAGGAGCAGTGTGGCTAAGCCCAGAAAACAGAGCACAGGGTTGGAGCTAAAGGAACAGATCTAATATGAAGTCAGGTTTGTTCTTCCCTATTACAGGAGGACCAGGGCCAATCTGAGAACTCACATTTAAGAGGAGAGCTCCACGCAAACCTCTGTTCCCCACTCCCACGCCCACTGTCCGCCTTCAGCTGTCCCCTTCATTCTGTAATTATGACTCACGTAATGAGAAGTTATCACTAGAGTGCCAATACCTTCAAGGGATTTCAGCTGCAGTTGCAGAAAGAGCTGTACCAGCCCCAAGGACCACTGTTAATAAAGAAGAGAAGAAACCTTTCAAGTTCATTAAGAGGAAAAAAAAGTTTCTGCCCTCACTGCCAAGTCTTGGCGTATTCCCCAGGAAGTAACTAAAACAAGTGGAAGGCATGTGGTGTTTATCAGACCTTAAAGCAGAAGTCCTGTGCCAGTGAAGACACCAGGAGAATGAGAAGGAAGGAGATGTTTCTGCATGGTGGGCACCTCGCAGTCTGCCTTGCACACAGTGGTGGGAGGAAGAGCCTTTAAGAAAGGGAACAGAGTTGCAAGCTGGAAGGATGCTAATAACGAAGGAAGGGACAGTGTTTTAAATTGGATTAAACTAACCAGTGATTTTAGCCGTTTGTTATCTGATTCTTTTCTCTTGTGCAAATGACTGAGTAGCATATATTTGTGAAAGGATTTGCTCTCAGCCACAGGGAGAAGGCATGTTTATAAACTACTAGAAGTACCGGGCAAGCAGGAAGAGGTCAAAGGAAAATGGATTGAGAACCAGAAGACCTGGGATTCAAGTTTCAGTCTCAGCGCTGTCACCAGTTTGCTGTGTGGTTTGGGAGCCACCACCTCATTTGTGTGGAGTATTTATTCCCTTCCTAGGATGCCCAATGGGAAAGAATAAATGCCTTCCCGGTATCTCATCCACACCATAAGGATAAGGATCATTTGATGATGAGTTGCTGAAAAAAAAAATTTACAGTAATCCCATTTTATTGAAAAAAAATTGTATTTTTCTAGGATAACAGTGGATGGGAATGATAATCAAGTTTATATAAGTTCAAAGTTTTGTGCTACAATAAAAACTTCTCATGCCTTAAAAATGAATTATAGTGCCTTGGTTAATTTCTCTGTAAGGTGGGCCATCTTAGCTCCTAATAATAGATGTAACACACGTGGTATAATACATGTATAAGTAGCATCGTTTCTGTCTGCCTTGGTCAAGTGACAGCCCTCTCCTTTCTGCCCAACTTATCCTGGAACTTAAAACCTCTAGGAAGTTCGTGTATGAACGTCTTTCAGGAGAAAGTGCTGAGGGTTTGAGACAAAGCAGTGGCAGTGAGGATGGAGAGGAGGGAAAAGATTTCAGTGATATTTTCAAGGAGGAAACTATAGAAATTCCTGCCTCTTTTGTGTGAAATAGTCTTCCCTCGTCCTCTGGCCAATGCTTCCTCATTCCTCAGTCTTTCAAAATTCAGCACGAGCATCATTTCCTCCAGAGGACTTTCTTCCTCACTCTGATTGGACGTCCTCCCCGCATCCAGTGTCTCCTTCTGCCAAACCTGCATTACAGTTGCTGATTTTCTTGGTGTCTCACGGCTGGTCTCTGAGTCCTTTCAGAAGGACTCGCTTATTTCACTCACAGATCATGGTGCCTAGAACAGAGCTTTGCTGATTGTAGATGTGCAGAGTATTTATTGAGCAAATGTTTGAAGGTCTCAAGCAGAGATGAGGGAGAAGGGAACATCTAGAATGGTGATCAGATTCCTGTCGTGGACCCCTAATTGAAATGTGTAGTATGATTATGTAATGACATTGTATAAATTGAAAAGCACTATCTAAAACCTGAATAATTATTACACTTGTTTTGAAACCAGTATTTTTTTTCACTCAGGTGCCTTTAAAAATTAACTTTCATGTTTAGAAAGTTGTTGACTCAAGTATCAAAAATTTTTATGTCATTTACCAGATCTGTCTATATTATTAACTGTTTATTTTAAAATCTTTCATTCATATATCATGGGACATGCATTTATGGGCATGCTCATTCCTCTGCTTAGGAAGTTAGAAATACACATGTGTAGCCGGAATACAATCTGTTAAATCCCAAAAGAAAGGAAATTTTCATTTTGATTTACTGGGATTTTCTTTGAAGTCTGTTTTTGTAATTAAAAGAAGTTTCCTTTTCAGTTTAGTTCCTAGCAGCCAATGTTTAATTATCATATTAAAAAAAACTGACAAACAATGGTAATTACAAAGTTGACAGTTGAAAAAAAATAGAATATCAACAGAATAAATTGCAAAATATTAAATTAAATTGAAACTCATTAGTCTCCAAATTTGACAGGAGCTTTCTTAACAAATTAAACATATTAGATGGCTTTCCTTTGCACTTCTTCGAATATGCCCAGCACAAAATATTATATTTGATATGAGAGATAGTAAAGAAGGGGTCATCTTGCCCATTCAGTATAGTCAAATTTTACCAAAGGAATTTTTCATTTTAGCTAGCCTATTTTGACTTAGATTACAGATATTTTAAAAGTGAGTAGAGAGATGAAATGATTAGCTGGGTTATTCAACCCCAAATGTCACTTCACTTTAAGTCCAGGAGATAAATACTCCCCTTACAGGACTTTCCTAATATTCTTGTGACTCTTCCTCGAGGTGTAATTAATCGCTGTCATTTTCTATCCACCTAGCACTTCGCGTGTGTTTCTTCCGTAGTAACGATGCCGTCACAGTGTGATTGTGCGTGTCTGTGTCCGGGACGACAGCTGGTGGTGAGAGCCTCGCGGAAAGCAGCGTTGTGTGTGGTGTCTTTGGTCCCCCTAGTGCCCAGCACGCTGAGGTATTCAGCAGATGCTCTGTGAAGTGATTTTCCTTCTGCTTTGCTTCTGTTTCACTTTGGTGAGGAGGTAGATGGAGCCCCCTTGGTCCATCAGAAACCACAAATGTCTGGTACGAGTTCACTCCATTAGTCTATTTGGTCTCGCCAAGACATGACTTATTATATTCCTTGGACAACTTTTTCCTAATTTATTTTCCATCCTGAGCACTTACCCATTTGCTTGCTCTCAAGGTCAGAAGGAAGCAAAGTCATCATAGTGGGTGTTTGGGGGTTGTTCCCAAGTGTAGACAAGCATCCTCAGAACCTCAGATGTCCCACATTTTGTGTGAGTGAAGCACAGTGAAGAAAGACATCGGCTGCATGGAAGGAGGAAAGAGCCAGAGGGCCATGAGCTGTGTGATAAAGAGGGGGAGACAGTGGTGGCTGGCGGTTTGCATATGATGGAGAAGCGGGCCAGGACCGCGATGCGCTGAGGGACCAGGAGAATCTGAATCTCAGCAGTATTTTGGACATGAAGTTACTTCCTGGCTGCTGGTAGCACGGAGTGCATGCCTTGTGCGTTGTGCGTTGTAGGAGGTGGGAGTGAGAGAGCAGTAGGGAGGGAAGGAAGCTGTCGGGAGGCCTGGAGACAAAAGACAGAGACCTGAAGTGCTCTGGACGCCGCTCTCCTGGCCAGAGAGTTGACAAGTGTCTGCTGCCATGACTGGTACCCGAGTGTTAAACCTTTCTCAATATGATTTTTTCCTGGAATGGCTCCTGCTGCTCTAGGCTTTACAAGGTGATGCTAGCCAGAGGCAGACAAACTCAGTAAAAACATTCCTAGCAACGCTTAGGTGTTGACTTGAGAAGGATGTTGAATTTTGAACCTGTCACAGGTTTCTTCGTCTTACATCTTGGCACCTCCCAACTGTATAAATGGTGAAAAGAGGGCACTAATCGTAACATGAATTCGCTTATGAAATTGGGATTGAGTTTTTGATGGAAGAAAAAAAGAATCTAAGACCGGGCTTCCTCTGACAGTTTTTCCCATGCGTAAAGAAATCCTACGTAGTAGGTAATGAGGATGTAAAAGGGTAATGTTGGGTATTTTTGATCAGGAAGCTGTATTTGGATAATTTCCTGGCAACCATGAATAATCATGGTGAACCTCAAAGTGCAAATTATGACATTCTATTTAGGACAGGGCCTTGGATGAAGACATACATCATGGAAGCATTATGCTGGTGACAGAAATGTCAAGGTATTTCATGAAGCTGGGCCCAGTTCAAGGAGCCAGCCAGCATTTTTTATTTTCAGGAACCACTTGATAGTAGATGGTCTGTCGGATAATAGGAACCAAGCACCCGTCCCTGCTGCCCTCACCAGCTTGGTGTTTGGAATCAGGGGATTAAGGCCAGGCAGAATGATTACTCTACAGCAGCTGTAAAGGGAACTGTTTCATGTGCTTTGTCTATGATAGAAAAATGAAAAGATAAGTAATAGGAATGAATTAAGAAGTAGAGAATTTTCAGAAAGGCAGGAGAAAAGTGATACAGGAATCTCAGAAATACACAGGTCTGTTAATGTGATTAATCAATAAATTTGCAAGGTACAGAGCTGGAGGGCGGGGGGAGTGGCCTGTCTCCACAGAGAGCCCCACTTTGCTCGAAAGGCTGCTATTTAAGAGGGAAACACTTTTTCAAAGAACACGGGGGGCAGTGCTCCAGGGAAGGGCATTCTGTCCACGGTACCACACTTCCCATCATAGTCACAGGACTTTAGAGGAAGCCACCACTGTGCTCAGCCAGCCCAATTTTCTGAGCAATGGGAGACCGTCTTCCAAACACACATCTCAATAGGTCATTACTGGCCTCTGATGGACAATTTTTCAGTGAAAGAAACTCTCTCCATGCAGGTGGGTGCTTTCTTCTTCGCGTGGAGTCAAACCAGCTTCCTTATAACATGCTGCCTCTGCCTTCTGAGGCCACCCTGAGATTCTGCCCCTGGAAACCATGTAGGGTAGATTTGATTCTTCTCTTATTTCCTCCAGATGAACACTTCAGATAGCTTCAGACAGGGATTATGAAGTAATTCCCCAGTTTGTGTTTTCTACTGACATGATGTACGCAGCTGCCGACCCGTCCTTCAGGAATTGGGTGCAGAACAGCGGGTAACGGAACGGGTGATATGATCTGAGGATGGTGGAAGTTTTGTTTCCTTTAACCTAAAATTGCAAGAATCGGGTAATGGCCATTTGAAGCCCTTGAGTACATTGGGAAAGTATTTCCCAAATTAGGAGAGTGAGTTCTTAAAGATCACAGAGACAGGAAGACCCTCGAATTTTTGAGCTCTCGCTCATGGACTGTCCAGGCACCCCCTCACTGGACGTGTTGTTAATGAGAGATTGAGCTGCCACTAGCTGTCTCAGGTCCCCCTTAAAATTAGTATCGGGGAAGCCATTTAAATGCTTCAGGAGGGGAGTGATTGTGACGTGTTATTTTATGGCTGTAGTCTGCAGCCTGGTGGGCGTTTTCTCTTTGTGGTTCCTGATTTCTATGAAATCCCAATAAGGAAGCTCTCAGCTGATCAGATCTTCGACAACCCTTCCTTTATTGCTGTAGCAACCAGATCTGTCCTTACTTCTTAAATTAGTTAATCAATCGTGGTCCCTGATTTATGTTGTTTGACGGCAGCGATCCCTGCCGACTGCTGGCTCTTTGTTCTTCTTCAGCTCATACGTGCTGCTGTTAGAAGACAGTCTTCGCAGATGCAGTACACACTGAATTACCTGAAGGACTGCTTCAGTACGTGAGTCTCATGCCAGAATAATTAGTTTGAATAGTGGTTATGGCATGTTTTCTCCCGTTGTATGTGATTGATTAAGGGGAGAAGCAAGCTCACCATTTCCAGTCCTCTGGAAGTAGGTCACATACTTTACTTCTGTAGTGACCGAATATTTAAAACCCAAATGAAGACATTAGATCTGACGAAAGATTATTTTCTTTTCTGATGTTTGAATTCATTTGCATTCAGTCTTTCAAATGTTACAGAAATGAAATCATATTTAGCCACACCTTTATTTAATCCATTTTACTGAGTAGAATTAAAGAATTATAGATTTGGGCTTCTTTACATTTTTTTGTAGCAGTTGGTATTAAACTTTTTTTTTTTACATCCATTCTGTCACATGGAGTCAATGACTACAGTTCATCCAAAATTCAGTATGAATAGCCTTTAAGCAACTGTTAGGGTTATGAATTTATCTTCAGCTTCATTT